TGAGTCTGTTTTAAATAACAAAGCCGCACGCAAATAACCTTAATACCAATCTTTGCATGGAAGCCTTCGACCGTTGAGTACCGGCGTAACGTGAGCTGCGTTGCGCATTTCCATTCAAGACAAGTGTCCTACGGAAATAAAAGAGATATTAAATCCTTCGTCTGGTCTGTACGTCTTTCTCACCGATCTCACCCACTTGTCTTGGAGTTGCCTGTATACCACATAATACACTACGGGGACTCGTCGTTTTCTAACCTTGCTGCCCGCCTTTGGAACAACCTACCAGTCCTGCCATATCTGATTTCCCCACTGTTACAAGCACTAATTCTTTCCTTCCTCGCTCTCCTCATAACTCTCACCACCGTGTCCGCACGTATAGGCGACATCCCCTGCCTGAGTGGCTGGTCATACAAAAAAAAAAAAAAAAAGCGCGTGGCTTCACAGCTTGCTGTTGTTTTATAACAAAATTAGTATTGGAGTGTTTAATTGTGACAAAGTGTTCTCAAATACCAGATTTAATATAAAGGCACAAAATCTATAACAAGAGAACAAATTTTTTTTCCACCACGCCATCAATGCCAAATCTGTTGGAAATATTCAGAAAGTCTTATTAAGCGTGAAAGAGCAGTTTGTAATCCCAAGCTAGCAGCACTTTCAAAAGTAATGAAAAATTTAAAATTTTCCTTTTCCAAAGGTAGCGGTAGTTAGTGAAGATGCAGGTTTTGTTTCAAGGCGAATGAAACTTGTTGCTTGCTTTGCTTATGTCTCTTTTTCCGGGAGATTAAACTTTTCATTTAATTCTTTCATTTTTATGTAACAAATAAATAATGTTTATATATTTATACATATTTCTTGCTTTTGGTTCATCGTCACAACTCAACTCACCTTTAATTTTTGGTTTTTACTGTATAAGAATGTATCATTCACTATGATTTTTTTTTTTAAATTATTACGCACAAATCATTTATTAGGTGGAATGCTTTTATTTTTTCTGGTGGCAGCTTTTAATAAAAAAATCGAATTCTATTAATTAATTAATTAATCTTTTACTGTTTATTTGTTTTATTTCAATAAACAAAAGCATGTTTTCGCCCAAATTTGTTTAATTATTTTCATATTTTTTGTCAAATTAATTTGTTCATTTTTTTTTTTTTTTTTGAAATATTATTAAAATAATTAATATTAGTTTAATAATTAATATTTTATATTAACATTTATTAATTGTTATTTTCCCCTTCACACTCGATGGATGTAATTACTTCAAAATCTTAATAATATACAATGTGAATGTGATTTAAATTCACGTACGCTTGCTTTTCTTTTTACACGATAGACACGTTGCCAAAAAATTCGTGTAAAAAGAAAATTAGGTGCGGTTTCATCTAAAAGCTTCATTAGGAACAGTTGAAATCACCTCCAAGTTTGGTATTTTATCAAAAAAAAAAAAAAAAATTCATCCCAAGTCAGATTTGTGAATAACCCTTACTTCCTTGTGTATTCGATTTCGACGTTACGTAAATGTACTTTTTATATCGCATCGTCTGAATTACATCCAATATAGTAAATGTTTTTTTTTGACAATTGTTTAAATAGCTCAGCCTTATTTTGTAGGTAATTGAAATAAGTAAGAATATCGCATTTGGACAATGCCAAACGCTAATGTGCCATATACTATCTTACCTAAAATAATTTTCCATCTATTTTCATGATAAAATATTCAAAATTTTAGTTCCACGTAAACGCATACCTTTCATGGAAGTCCTTATATGAAAGAGTACTGCAAACGCAGACTGATATGCTCTAAATTTAGCAAAATTAAACTACTTTTCAAAGACCTTAGAATTATTTATCTATTCTCGTCATGAACACAAATAATCAGACTTACTTTCATAAGTTCCTTTAAACTTACGTAGTAGAAATTCGATGCAGTTAAATTCTAAGTCAAATAGGCTTTTTAGACCCATCGCCGAATGTCAGGGATATGTTCATTTTCTCAAAATATTTGCTATAGATAGGAGGAAACTTCAGAGACAGTATAAAGTATATCTATAGGCTTCGCCGGTATTAATTCTATCGGTCTGCGCTTTTGTCTGTGGTAAAGACACTTGAAGATTGAACATTCTTGCATGCGAATTGCTATTGACAACGAGTGAATTGTGTTCTTTGCCCATTACTCATAAACTAAAGCGAAACGATAAATACTTTCCCGCACATTCTGTGGATTACCTTACAGTACCTATACAAATATAGAAAAAATGGTCCCGCCTATCCGATATTATAAAGTATGAACACATCAATTTTTTTTTGATTTTTGAAGATAATTAATATGAGATATTCCACCCCAGCAGAACTCTACGAAACGACTTAAAAAAATTCAAAACCGAGAACAAGTTAAAATATTGTAATAGAATAAGACCGACGTTAACATACTCTACATTACTTTGTCTAATGTATTTACTGATTACGGTTATAAAATACGGGAGAGGATCTGATAGACGCATCTATGTAGCCCAAACATACTGCAACAAATTTATTTATTTACAAGGCAATTCAAAGTATACACCCATGCAAATTTTCCACATACTTTTACTATGGTGAAATATGCTTTTTGTAGAGAAGTATCGAAAATAAAAAGTTGCTTCATATAACGACTTTTCAAAATAGGTCCTTTTGTAGGCAACGGCCTTAAAAACGCTTCATTTTTGATTCGATTTTCTATACCTTTCATCCCCAGGCACAAAATATGTCAATGTTACAAATTTCATCAAAGTATATTGACAATTACAACACAGACACGTCTAGGTCGATTTAGGCAATGGAAGTTATAAGCTGAGCCCACACAAGGCAAAAAGACAAAGCTAGTTGCTTTTTGCTTGAACTGAATCGAATTACTTGAATTCGATCTTCATCCGACGAGAACGATTAGAAGAAATACTTCAGATAAAGCTTTAACTCGGCTGACAGGGAGACATTCTCTTGAGTTTCTTCCCATATTTATGAAGATCGAAAGTAAGTACGCGTCTTATAAAGGCCTCTAATATAATATCTAACTAAAATATTATTATGTGTCGCAAACCTTTTGGAAATTCCAAATATCCTCTGTAGCGGAAGATGTGATCTTTTCAAGTTTTTCTCTTTTCAAGTGATTGTGTGCTGTCGACATGTTTTTCTTTTTACGTACTTTTTAACTTGAGATTTAAACAAACTACATATGCGCAAATCACATGCTTTTCTGTCAATTTTTGAATATTAACAATTCCGAAAGCAAAAAGGAAAGTCGAAAGCGCTAAGACCCGAACTCTCACAATGGCGATGACTACTAACTAATTCTGAAACATCTCTAATGTTTTGCCGGTAAATGTGAATAATGTCTGTAGTTCCTTCCTTAGTTACTCTTCCGAAGAAGGACTGGAGTAGCTAACTAAAGTATTCAGCGGTTACGAAACCTTATTTTTTCACATAAAATAACACGATTGTTAGAATTATCATCTGCGCTAGTTCCTGGAGCACATGTGTGGATGGGGGGACATAGCTTCGCCCATTCAAAACAACAGCTTGTGAAGACATGAGTGTTTTGAACTTTATGAATAGAAATAAAAAAAAAAATATTACGCCTTACAGTTAAAGCGAGACGTAACGGACTAAACTGCTGAAGCATTTAAGACGAACGTCAAGACGAATGTATTTATAATACTTGATGAGGTGTAGTACATCTCTCAATCCAATCAATTTATTGATGGAAACCTTCAATTTTCGTTCAATCCTAAATATGCCGATGTGAACTGGCCATCAAAAGCATGCGACATGGCTTGCAACGTTTTCTTAGCGGCAATCTTAAGTGGTTGATTTACTCCAATAAACTACAAACATAGAAAAACTTTAAAAACAACATTATTCATGCTATTGGAGAAATTAATGTAGATCTTATGTGGAAAAATGACTGCATTTTTATTGTTCTAGAATCGGATTTTCACAAAAATCTCCGACCAGTCACATATGTGAAATCATATTTAAATAAAAAAGAACTAACATTTAAAATAAAAAAACTCACGTATATATGTCGGTGTGCGTACTTTTGTTAAATATTTGCTGATCATTTTTTCGTTTCACTTGAATTGACTTTTCAAAATAGGGCGTTATAAGGCGAGTGGTGGAAAAGGCCGATCGATCTAAATAATTTTGACAAAAGCACGCCAATACACCAAATTTCCTCAAAGTATCTCAATAATTTGCAACCTGTAGCTTAAACACAGATTTTCACAAACAGACAACAGACGGACAGAAAATCATTCTGAATCGATCGTTATAAGAAAAGGTGGATCTATCTGAAACCCTTTTGTGTTTTACATACTAACTTAATACATCCTCTATAACAAGGGGTGTATGGTATAAAAACATGAAAAAACTAAATTTCCAAACTCTATAATATTGGATGTTTTTTGTAGAATACGGATGGAATATACGTATCTTTATCGTATGTCCATCGCAAAAAAAAAACATGTTCTTACCTGTTAATACATTTTCATAGAGGCTGGTTTGGTTTTATTTTTATCCTATTCGCGAATATATTTATGGGAATTTTTTTTTTTTTTTCAAATGTTTTCCATATAAATATTGAAAATTTTTAATTAACATTCCTTCCATATTTTTTTCGTCACTGGTTGCATAAGAAAGATAAGCCTGTGGTCGGTTCGCCAAGAAAATGAAGTGATAATGCACTTACTTACCTTTTAATGAAAAAAATTTATTTAAATTTTAGACACGAAAAGACCATCTATCTATTCTTTCCTTACCTAACGTAATTTTTCATTCTCTCCATACTAACGGTAATAAAATCTTTTCATTAACGCTTGCGGTCATTCACTTTTTTATATAATATTATAATAAAAAATATATTCTTTTATTTTGAAATTACTTTTCCCTTTACTTTTGTAATTTATTCATTGTTTTCTGTCATTTCGTTTTCGTTCTTTTTTTTTTTTTTATTTTACTTTCATCAGCTTGCGCACCACCTACATTTTTCTTTAGGGGCCGTTGCTATGACAAGTGCCCCAGTCAGACTTACGTCATTAAACACAACGATATGGTGGATAATATCAGCAACATTGTTACGTATCAATCCAAAGACGATGTAGATGAAGAATTACAATCGTTGGAGCGTAAGCGGCGTTATCATTATAAAACTTTAAAGGTGAACGAATTTAACATCGATAGAGGGGAGACCACTACTACAGAAAATGAAGGTTTCTTTGCGCCAAACATTATGCTAAGTTGCGCTGCCTGTGATGTAACATGTCGTCAATGTTACGGTCCATTGAATTCCCAATGCAATATTTGCTTCCCAGGCAGTCAATTACGGCGAATTCCTTATACGAATGACAGTTATTGCTATATGTTCGCTGAACGCAGCTCTGGCAATAACAGCCACGACAACCATTCTACCGTTCAGCAAAATAAAACTAATTTCAATTTTTTGCTACCATTGTTATACTTGATACCGACGTTTATCACGATATCGGTTATAATGCTTCTAATAATCTACGGTTGGAACAATTACCTAAATAAAAGAAACAACAGTAACGGTGAAATGGCAGCCACTTATGCGTACGATCGTGTGGCATTAATAAGCAATGAAGATGACGAAGTGGAAGCCGAAATGGCAGATAATGAAACTGATGCTGGCGACGATTATCATAACCAAGATGAAATTGACAACAAAAATGTTAAAAAAATTGTTCATAAAACTGTAATCAAAATTTATACCGATGCATCAGAAATCTTATAACGAGGTTTCTCTAATGATTAAGCTTAACTTTTTATTTTTTTTTAAAGTATTTTTTATATAAATATGTATAACAATTAAGTAAATTTTTATGTTAGAAAAATTTCGCATTTCATAAAGTACACAAAATGGCACACATTTTTTTAATAATTTTATACATAAAATCAACTACATATATATTTTTCTTCTTTACCGAAAATGTATATTGAAATGAAAATAAAACAAAATTGAATTCAATTACTATCAGCAAAATGGCTTTCGAATCTTAGTTTAGATGATTATCTTAATATTTCGCACATTTAGGTCTTATTATCGTATTGTGAATTTTAGATTAGCGCAGCTTTTATTGGCAATCGTTAGAAAATCTATTTGGAAAGGATTTGTTTACAGGAACTTTTTAACAATGTTTGAACACTTCTGTTTGCTTTTTCTCCTCGAATATCACGATTTGACAGTATTTGTCTTCGTCAAAACACCTGCTTATAAACCTCTCGGAAACTAGATTTTTCCTAATCCTTTTGGATCTCAATTGTTATTGTTAATCTTTTCGTCAATCGCCAATCACGTAAGATGTAAGGACTAAAACTGATTGCCAGGGTTCGCTCTCCGGGTACCCAGATTCTTAAAATGGGAATTCGTATTTCTTACCAGAACATCCGATTTCCACCACAGCTAACCGTATAGTTAACTCGAAAGATAAGAGGATTAATCCTTTTCTTATGTAATTGTACTAACATTCACTTTATATATGCGACAATCTTATGCGGTATCTTATATGTTAGGGCAATCGATCACTTCATTATTTACTACAGAGAGACTTTCCACTCTCTCATGTCTTTAGTGGCCTTTATCTTCCGGGCATCGAAACTACAGGAAAACAAACTTATTACTTTAAGCACGTCAATCACTTCTGTTGAATGGTGTTGCCACATTCACTGCTTATAATCGACTCCGCGTTGATCGAAAGCCATCTCTCCTTAAATCAGATTGGAGTTGCCAATCCGTAATAGACGTGGAACCAAGTTCATAGCTCGATTCAGAGTAACCCCGCCAGATTGTCCGGCGACACATTCTTTCATTTGTTGGCGGGTCGATATCAATCCTAGAATACTTTACGTACAATATGAACAGATGAAGTTTCGTAAATCTTTATTTGCTATTAGCGCTTTACGGAATTGCTTTTTCTACAACAGTATACAGTTTTTATGAAGACATTTTTAATTAAATAGAAGATTTCCGTTACGATACTTAGATTGTACATTTAAACTTTGCAGTTAGTGAACAATGTCACATAGTGAGGCTATTTTAATGCATTTAAGTTTCGCAAGTAAGATCAACGGGGAAAAGCAAACGCATCTGCTTTAAGACGGCGAATCTTGAATACTCTCTACCGTAAACAAAAAGCCGCTTAAATGAAAAGTTCGTTAAAATTGATGAGTCCCTATTTACACAACTAGGCTGAAATTCCACTTGTCCATTTGCAAGTCATTGGGTTATACATTGCTCTCAACGGAGCAATCTCTAACCGCATTGAGTCTTCAGGAATCAGGTTTATTTACTCAGGCAGGTTTCCATGAACACGTTGAAACAGTTTATTATTTTACACAAAAGAAGGTAACTTCTTAAAAATAACCGCATATATATTTCATAAATTCCAAAGACTGTCGAAGCACGCTTGACAAATGAAACATTTCTTGGCTCAATTTATTTCCAAAGAGTATCAAATGATTTTCTTACAACCTCAATCGGCACAATTCTTATTAGCATCGATTGACAAACTAGACACATCACTAGATCAAGACAGGTTCGACAATTCCGAGAGAGAGATAAGTGGACGCATCCACTTGTAGTAAAATTGAGTGGATTGCCTTCCTTTCGGGCAACATCGTGAATTACTCAACTATTAAGCGACAGTTGCTACGTTGGTATTGAAAATAGTTACCGTTCTAATTCTAGGGAACCCACTCTCTCTGATAATGTACTGGATCGTATAAAGTATCCACCCTACGAAAAAGACGGTAGTCGTTGATTTCTTAATACCCAAATGGCTTCTTGTCTTGTCATTCCTTAGGAGAGAAGAACCTAAGCCACTTTCAATGAGTTTAATAAGCATTTAGGCCTTACCTACTGTCTCGCCACCTTTTAGCCTCTTTAGGGCTTTTAAGAGACAAGACGACCAAATTTTGTTTCAAAAGCATATGGTTATGGGTAGTAAGTACAACAATTTTTTTGTTTTATTTTAAATTATTCATATGCAATGTGTCTCAATGTGTTTATCTTAAAGTAATTCATATAACGACTTTTCAAAATAACGCATTATAGGAGAAGTGGTCGAAAACGTGGTCCATTGCTTGTGTCTGTTGTGGCTTCCATGTGATGAGCAAAAAATCATAAATCAGAATTTTTCTTAGATTATTTTGAATTGTGCGTGTCTTGTTTCGTCGATTTGACCAATTTCCGATACGAATTTATCTGCAAGAATTTGCAACGGTCTCGTATAAAGTGAGGCCGACATCTTAATTTTTACTACATCGATTCAAAATCGGCAAGGCTTCCGTCTAGATATTGTAATTATTGTAGCGAAATGAATACACCGCTAACCGTCACCGGTAGATATAAAGATAGTAAAATTTATTTGTGTTAGATATGTATATCTGGCAATGCTCCTATATTAAGCTATTAAACTTTGTGTATGACACTTCTTACACATATATAGAAATATTATAAAATGAAAGCTGCTCAATTAACTTGACACAAGTGTTTCTTGCACGTGGTGCATTGCGAGTTGGCGACGAGAATATTTCGATTTATTTCATTTATATATTAAAAATAATTCGGAATGAGCACCAAGGATGAGAATAGTGCACAAACATTTACTTTTTAAAATACAACACACTTATTGGAATGTTCTACAACAAAAAGAGAGTGGAATATTTGGAAAGAGAGATTAGACATTTATTTTGTATGAAATAAATTACTATGCAGTTATTGTCAAGAAAGTCGTACTACTTAAATCTATTGAAAGTGTTGCTAGTTCTTTACAACACAGTTTGTGCAGTCCACAGTCGCAACTTAGCAAAACAAGCAAGGAACTGTATGAAGTCTAAGCACTCATTACACTATACCTACAATCATTTATCAAGAAAAAAAACTTGTATATTTCGAAAAAATTGAAGACGAAACAGTCGCTGAATACTTCGTGGTGAGCACTTAGAGACATTTGTTAAAGATAGACTCATAATGGATTGAGCAGAAGTGTGAAGAAGACTCGCCATTTACCCTTCATGATTCCTTTAAAACGACTTTAATAAGCGAAATGACAATTTCATTTATTGCTAATAACGTTAACGGCCATGCTAATTGTCGTAATAAATGGAGCCTAAATAAATATCTGAGGAAAAACGAGAAGAGCGACAATGAGAAGAAACCACACAAAGTGCATAAACCGTATAAGCACAAAAGATTGCAAATTTAGGAACAGCAGATGCTATGTCTATAATAAAACAGAAAGAGTTTGCTGGTGAAGCATCGGATACAATCAATTCAAACCAAACAAAACCGAGTTACAAAAACCATGCATATATCATTGCAAAATCAATCCAGTCAAATGTTTAGTGATCATGTAGGCACTTATAATAGTACCGGAACGACTTTGGAAAACCACCAAATCAATTTTCTTCACATCTAGACCATTGCCAATCGCTTGGAAAGCAAAAATAGAACAAAAGCTAAATGACTTAATTGGACTAGGCGTTCTAGAGCGAGTAGATAACTCAGACTGGAATGTGGTGCGATTATGAAGGCCTTCAAATGTCCGCTGCCACATATCAATCTTTTCGTACTGAACTTTTCAATCTGGTGTTGAGATTGATTTATCAAGAGCGTGTTTTGAGTTAATGTTGTATTGCAAAAAATGTTAGATTACATAAAGAAGGATTTTAGAATTCATAAGATACATTTAAGAATTGATAAAACTTAATTAATTCGATAGAGATGTATGAGAAGTATGTAAACGTTCACAATTATCACTAGAATCAAAGGAAAACTCGAGAAAAAAAACTCAAAAATTTTTATCCTGTTCGCATTTATTTTTTACCTATATTCTGAGGTACATACATTAACTTCGCTAATGTTAAAATTCTATCATTTAAGCTACATCTTTTGTCATCTAAACAATTTAAAGTAGTTTTTATACAAATGTCTATGAACAATTTGGATTGCTGCAAATAATTCTTTATTTGCCATGAAAAGCTTTTTCTATGTAAAATACAATGACAGTAATTAATACACTTTAATTTTTTTGATAGAATTTTCCACACCTGTAACCTTTCCTACTTTCCTCTATATTATTATCATCATTAATTATGTGCGCATAAGCTTTGGCTTTTAGACCAGCGAACTTTGTTATAATTTTATCTGTGTTCTCACCTTTCATTAAACCTAAAATATTTTTGTTATTAGAGATGTCGTGCATAATTCCTTCTTGATACCCTGATGTGTCAATTTTATGCGAATTATTTTAAATTAACTATAAGATTCTTTAAAAAAAACAATAAATCTGTATTCACATAAATGATTTTATTTGTCTTTCTCTAATTAATTAAAAAGTTAGAATGGAAATATACACATTTGCATAGTTATACATATATTGCAATAGTAGAACAATTACATATATATATATATATATATATATATGTATATATATATATATATATGTATATATATATATATATATGTATCATATAGCATTTGCAACTTAATAGGTGCTTACATGTATTTCGATCCACGACATCTATTGGTAAAAATGATTGTGTGATGCGAAGTAAAGATTAAATTCAATGATTTACTGTTGTCCATTTATTCAGTGTATATAGACATTAGTCAAGGAACGCTCAAAATTACATTTTCGACATTTATTACTTTTGTAATTTGATTTGAGGTAATCTGCTGTCGAAGTCCAAACGCTTTGGAAGTTTGTGATGCTGCTGCTCCAGCGTATCCCAGGTGTCTGCTTGGATTCAACGGTTCAAAAATGATGATTTCGATGTCAAAGACAGAGAGCGGCCTAGAGGAACAAAAATGTTCAAAAACAATAAATGAGTCTTGTTCGACGAAAGCCTAGCGCAAATTCTCAAAAAACTTTCGATCAGTTTAGCAATTAATCAATCAGCTGTTTCTAGACGCGATGGGAAAGCTCCGACAGAAAGGAAAAATGCCTACCGTACGAATGAACTGAAAATCTGATTTCGAACTGTTTCAACATCGCGGTGTCATTGCTTACCAGGCAAAAAAGGAAAGATTTCTGTAGCGCATTGTGACTGACGATGAAAAGTGGATCTACTACGACAATCCGAAGCGCAAAAAGTTTTGGTTTAGTTCAGGAGACCTATCCACATCGACAGCGAAGCGGAATATTCATGGCCGTAAAATTTTGCTGTGCACATGATGGGATCGAGGTGTTGTCAAGTGTATATTACAATTACTAAAGCTGTCCACCGACGTCAGTTGCAAGGAAGACCAACAATAGCGATTAACAAACGCAAAGTCATCCTCTTACATGAGAATGTTCCACAGCATGTTGTAAGAGTTGTCAGGGATACACTCTTGCAGCCCGAATGGGAAATTCTGCGTTGTCTAGCGTATTCACCAGACATTGCACCTTTTGATTACCACTTATTGAGATCGATAGAGCATGGCTTGGGTGGCCGGCGGTTTCGAGTTTATAAAGAAACGCGAAAATGGCCAATGTCGTTCTTCCGACACATTGACGCCATGTTGCCAAAAAGATAGGAAAAAGTTGTAGAAAATAATCGAAATATTTTAATTGAAATACATTGTACAAATTTTTTTCAATAAATGCGTTTTTTAAGTGAACAAATGATTCAAATATATGCAAGCACTTAAGATTTAACTCGATGCCGAATAATTTACCGTCGAATGCCTCAGTATCCTTAACCTGACGAAGGCGGCATATCGATACCATGTATGTGCGTGGTAGAGAAAAGAACATAACAAATGTGTGATTCGTGACGCCTTTTGCTTTACCGAAACTGTTAAAATTGCCGTAAAGCATGTTTTAGGTACCGTTTTGAGGAATTGCCGAAAAGTACTATTCTAGGTACCATTTTGGAAAATTGCCGTAAAGCCCGGTTCTAGATGCCGTTTTGAAGAATCCACTGTATGTATAATCTGCAACGATGGGATGTGTTGTTCAGCTTTACTTCAGCTTTCTCAAGAGATTTATTCCTCAGACCGAAGAACACTGATAGTCTTATTAATGAAAGTAGTATAAATAATAAGGAATATGCCTTACACCGAAAAATGATTGACAGCCCTATTACAGGAAAGAGCCAATCGTCAACGTTTTGAAGAAATAGTAGGGAATATTCCTCAGGCGGGAGGATAACTGATAGTCCTATAGCATGAACTAGCCAATCATCCGCTTGAATGTCGCTGGGCAATAAAAGAATGATCGGTGGTCGCGCTGCTTTTATAGCTGTTTTTTGATCTTATTTTATTTGTTTGCTCTACTTACTTGTACACCTCGACCTCGAAGCAAGTGTCCCCCGAATCATAATGACTTATTAAGGTTAAAAATTATTTTAAGTACGACATAGGTAAATCGCGCTTATTAAGCAATGTTGCTTTAATGGAAAGGGTCCGATAATGAGAATAAGTGATAGACGTCATTTAGGTTTCAGCAAACAACTGTGAGGGGTTAAACAGCTCATAATCATATTTACATTGACTAAGCTTAATCAAGATAAAGTGCCTAGAGAAACGGTTAGTGAAATTAAAGCTTATCTCACCAAGTAATGCAGGCGAGTTAATAGTACCGTTTACCACTTTGATTACGAAGGAAACGCCAAGAATAAATTTACGTTTCGAGACGGTAAGAACAACAGATGCAACCTATTTTCATAGTGGGGAAGAGAGGCAATCGGATCCTAACACAAATTCCTAAAGGCAAATAGCAAGAATTGCTTTTGAACAGATTTAATTGAATCTACATAACACCTATATGAAGGAGACCACGCAACAGAGGCATACTCGAGTATAGTTCTAACCAAACACATGTTCAACCTACTAGGCCGCTAACAAAGATCTGAGAGAGAAATAACTTGAAGTGAATTTCTGATTTACAATTTTGCATATTAAACAGAGATCTCTCCACATTTGAGTTTTGCTGTTGGGAAAGTCATTTAGGAAAATTCCCATGACGTCACCAGCATCGGTTATAATAATAAACCGGTTATTAATACCTAAACCGTGCTGCGTGTGTATGTATATATGCAAACAAAACAGGTTTATTGTATGGAGAATTAATAATTTGTGTAAATATTTGATCATTTTTAAGATAAATGAATATAGGAAGGAATCAATGTGCATAAATATGATATATGAAACAATATGTGAATGTATGCAATGTATATGAGAACGTAGACCTATATATATATAAGGGTCTAAAGGACATAGTGTAATCCAAAGTAGGCCGATATAGCGAACCACTAACATTCAACAAAACTCAATGTTGATAAAGCCAGATTAATTCTCCATATTTGATATAATCATCCGTGTTGCCAAGCTCAAAGGTACCAACATGTTAGAAAACACCACATGATGCAATTGGAGTGATAATTGAAAGTAGAACAACTAGAATATGCCAAGAAACGATTCGTCAGCACGATAAGTTTTAGCAACACTGAGTCCGATTCTTGCGTTCATATTGCACAAATTTTGGATCACGCCAGGTAGATTTTAAAATCTTCAAATATAAACCACTTAGGAGCAAACTTAAAAAAAAAATCGCAGAGCCTAAAAAAGCTATGGCGAATATCGTATCATGTAAATTAATATGGTGGCAAACATATGTGTTGTTAGTGCCGCCAATGTGACTAAATAACACAGTGGATATACATTATGTAGCAAATTTGGAAACTGAAAGTTTCATTTACTTTCAGCAAATATACTTAGAGCAATTTCTTAACCATTTCCTCCAAGCAATCTATTGTCAATAACATATCTTTCATCATTTTTCATCTACCCTTACCTGTGAAATTCGTCCTTGGTAACTTTAAAAACAATGCGCATTCAATCAATCACTCACTAGTTTTTTGACGCATTTATTTCTCCCTCAGGTCAATTCTTTTAAAGTGGTAGAATTTTTCTACGGAGCGCATATGTGCCTCGGACGTCGCTTAGCTGATTTAGAGATACAAATATTAGCTTTTACGAAATTGTAAATTGGAATATAACTGCCCCACAAGACTAGCGTGTACGTAACGGTTAATAAAAATGAATGTTTTTTCCCATTGGAAGAAAATTTTCATTACGAAATTTGGATGTTTTTCAAATATTTGATTGTGTCTTTATTTTTTCAATTGCTTAAACTGTGCATACCTAAGGACTATCCAAAGTACTCCATGCCACGTCATTTAAAAAATAACTTAAATTTTGATTTTTGCCACCACGCATATTGAATATAATTAGAGCATAGTTTCCATACAGTGAATTTCATCCGTTATTTACATTGAAACAATTTTAGTTTCATTAATTTCATCCATTCCATCTTCAGCGAAACTATTTGCAAACATTTCATTACACTCGGAGGAGCTTCCCGATGAGACAAAAAGCGTGATTTTAATATCATTTGATTCTTCCATTCCCATATCGCCTTTTTCCTTATTAACGCCTATTTTGCTAAAAAATTTACAATATTTCAGAAAAAAAAATATTTTCTTGCAATGTTGCGCGAAAAACTTACGTCAGCTGATTTTTACTTAAGGAGCGAATTGAACGTTTAAACGCCATTTCCTTTAATTCAATGCAAGCCGTTTTCAATTTGTTTATTTCATCAAAAGCTTTAATAAGTTGTTTTTTAAAATTCTTACGCGACTTTTCTATAAGAGCAATGCGTGTATTCTGTTTACGCTAAATAAAGGATGAGATAATAAAAAAATTATGCTGCTTTAAAAAAGAGAGTTTGCCGAAGCTTACCAAATCAGTTCGAAAATGTAATAAATAATCGGGCGAAATGTGCAAGCTGCGTAATTCGTTCAATTCACTTGTTAATAATTCAGTGCGCGCTTTCAAGTTGGCATTTTCCCTCTCCAGGCGAGCGTTTTCCGTTTGCATTTGATCGTTCTTGATTGCCCTCAATTGGCCAAATTTTTCCGCACGCACTTCCTCCCACCGCTTTTTCAAATCATTCTTATAATCGTCTTCCTTGTCAGCAAGCTTATTTAATATATTTTCCATTTGTAGTCGCTTCCATTGCTCCAACTCGTGCACTGCTTTCATTATTACCTCTTCTTGAATAAATTCTTGATGCTTTCCATCACTATTTTCAGTGTTTATCGCTTTTGAACTACACAATTTTTTTGACGCCAAGTCAGCCTGTGCACCTACGCTACATTTGACTTGCGCGCGAAAATGTCGCGATTGATTGCGAAGAATTTCCTCTTGTCTAGCGTCTGTAGGGCAGTCTTCCATTGATTTAGCACAAAATTCTTTTTTTTTTTTTTTTGTTCTTTTTTTTAATTAAAATATCATAGGGATTTAGAGCTCGCTCTTTGTTTGTTGCAGTTATATTCAGCGGTTTCAAATGTCGTGCTGACAAACTATAATTTTCATAAAACTCATTGACACTAATTTTCAAATTATTTTTCTCTCATCTCGACTTCCTCCGTACTCCCCAAATTTTGCAGTACACAGTGTAATTTTTATCAAGAAGAAGTTAGTAAAAGCAAATTTAATATCCTTACGAACCGGATATGTCAATATGGCGACTTTCTTTTTAACAAAGATAAATTTTAAATTAGGAAAACACAATTTTTACATTAAAAGACTTTAAAAACCTTGCTTGCATATTCGCGTCAAAATAAAGTTTTCTGGTTCAGATCAGAGATCTTCAAAATAAAGTAAGTAATTCAAGAGAATCGTAGTGAAATTTGTGACATTAGAAAGATTTCTATTAACTTATTCCAAAATATTTTAAATTTGAATCTAACGATTGACAATATTTTTATATTTAATCAAATGAAAATAAAAACCAATAAAAAGCAATTAAAAAAACGCTATGCTTTGCTTTGAATATATCACAGACAATTTCGTTCATTAATTAAGGTAAAGCGATTTCAGTTATCACATTCCAACAGCAGCCATGACATCCTCATCCACACTATCAGCGAACTCATCGTTACCTTCCGATGAACTTTCCGATGAGATGAAAAGCGAACTTTTAATATCATTCAATTCTTGACGATCATTTTCCAAATCGTCTTTTTCCTCATTAAGAATTTCGTCTAGGCATAAACTAAAAAATTAATTATGTTACGAGAAAAGAATTTTTTTTTTTTGTCGATCGTGTAATGTGTAACGAAAACCTACGTTAATTGACTTGGTTTCGTGATCGGTTTCGCATTTTTAAATGCCGCCGTCTGCAACTTAAGGCAAGCCAGTTTTAATTTATTAATTTCACGCGAAGCCTTAGTTAGTTCTTCCTTATAATGATTGCGGGATTTTTCCATAACAGATATACGTTCATTTTGCTTACGCTAAAGGGAGGTCGATATAATTTGATACGTACAACCTTTAAAGGATGAGCAACTAAAACTCACCAAATCACTTAGAAAATCTGATAGGTGATCGGCTGAAAGGTGTGTGCTTTGTAACGTGCCCAATTGTTTCGTCAATTCTTCAGTGCGTGCTTTCATATCCTCATTTTCCTTCTCCAGACGTGTGTTTTCCAATTGCATTTGTTTATCTTTAATTTCAAATAAATTATCTCTCTGTTGCATATCCAGTTTTAATCGTTGCATTTCAGCTTCTAATTGTTGAAATTTCTTTGTATAAGTACTTTCTATTTCGCGCTTAATGGAGTCGACCACTTGAACGGAAGCCCGATTTGTGGCATTGGAGGCTTTTAATTCAACTTGGGCTTTCTCCAATTGAGCATTTAAATGTTCGCACTTTGCCATTTTTGCGTCCAGACGAGCCTGCATTAAAACACGCTGCTGCTCCCAGTGCTCCTCCATCTCACGGATATAATTGCGTTCTTTGTATGCCAATGCACGTAAGAAGCTATCCATTTGCTGCTGTTTCCATTGTTCTAACTCCTCTACTACTTTAACTGCTATATCTTCTGGATTAAATTCTTCCACGGGGTCGGTATTTACTGCTGTCGAGTAGAAGCACTTTTCAGCTTCCACATCAATTTGTACACCTATGTCACTGGTCTGTTTGACTTGGGAGTCAACGTGTCTTAACCGCTCGTAAGCAATTTCCTCCTTTTCTAATATAGTTTCCTTGGGAAAATCATCGACCGACTTAGCATAGCATTCCTCTTTATCGTTGCAATAGCATATGGGTTCAGAATTTGCCTTATGATATTTACCAATTAATTCCAATGATTTAAATTGTCTCGATGACAGAGAAAAATTGTCATAAGGTAAACGCTTGAAATCTGGTGTTTCCAAATTACCATGTTCCGCAGGCAATTCAAAACGCGTCACTGATCTCTCTTCCCCTTTGCCGCTGCCGTGACAAATTTCATTTAAAGCTGCAATTTCGTAATTATTTCTTTTTGCATGCGGTGTCAGTAAATGAATACTAAATATAAAGTCGACTGAAGGTTTACACGATCTGGGGCTAAGAATTTTGTGCAAACGATCAAAGTAAAAGGTACCATTCTTCGTCCATAATTTGTGCATACTAAAGTAGACATCATCGGGCATAAATTTAGAGATATCGAATCTATAGTTTGCTATGGCTATATTCATGTAATAGAGATTAATAGGTATATAAAAGATGCGCTGGAAATAAGTGCGCAAACTGCGCAATGAAGATTTAAATGTTAACGAAATTTTCTCATTAACTGGATAGCAATCGGTTGATGATATTTGAATTTCCACATATGAGTTGCTGCCCAAAAAATCGTAATGAAAACCGAAAACGTTGCTTTCGTATTGACAAACATTTTGCTCCAATTCTAGCAATCTCATTACGTTTTTCACTTGCTTGAAAGTAAGCGTTATAGCGAAAATATCACAATCGACGTCAGGATTGTTGCCCACTTGAATTAAACCGACTTGTTTTAGTAACTGAACGTACACATTGCTTTGAGACTGCAACATTAAAGATGTCTCTGATGCATGTGGTGAAACCATGAATTCACGATTTAATGTTGCAGCAGTTGAGGGTTGTTTGCGCTAAATTGCAAATTTATTATTAAATGCGGGAGAAATTAAAAAGAAAAAAAACGTTTTAATAAGTTACTTTTCCCATTAAAGATTCCAACTCCCCACTTTCCAAGATAACTTTTTTAACAATCGTCAACATTATATAGATTTCGGGTTTATTTTGCCGCCATTCTGCGCTTAACCCACCCAATTTATGCCAATGAAGTTTCATCTGCAAATTAAGAAGATTTTCGTATTCATTGCCTTTTCATCGTTACCATGAAGGTATTTTTGAGTTACGGATATATTTGATAGTTGCGAGAGAATCTGTACACCGCGCATGGGTAATAAAAGGGAACCTATAGGTCTGCGTGGCGAATTAACTGAACGCCCAGATTTGAGGAAACATTCTAATTTCACCGGTCGATTATCAGTTTTCATTCTAAAGATAAAACAATACAAGTGTATTTTTGTCACTTCTTGAAAATAGAACGTTTACCTTTTTATATCATCTAGTTCACATTCCCATATACAATTACTATTAAATATTGTGGCAGTTTCACTAGATAACGAATGTCCTTCCACTTCGAATTTAACTCCGTTCAACGATGCATTTAATATTATACGACTTTTGCGCTGTTCCGCAATGTCTCCCACACCATCGCGAATATTAAAACCAATTCCTTATAATTAATTTAAGAAATTCAGTGAAGAGGAATTCACATTTCAATGCTTGCGCAGCTTACCTTCTACGATATGCAAAAATATGCAATAGGTGTTCTCCTTCTCCTCATCACTATCCGAAGAAGTATATGCATTCATAACTGCAATGTTTTAAATTTATTGGGAATATGTTTATATTATTTATATTTTGTAAAAATATATTTATTTTCCTTCAAAGAAGCGGGCATTACATATAAAATAAACAAATACAATAAAACAATAACCGTTCGTCTTATCAAATTAGAGCTGTCAAACCTAAAGAATGTTTATTTCATGCGTAGGGTTGCCGCAGTTCGCATTAAGTGCTCAAGATCAATTGTTTGAGGTATAAAATAACTTAGCGTGAACCTCGCCTACTGTATGAATTTATATCAGTTAACACGAAAATATATTTCGGCAAATTCGTAAATTGTGTATTTTTAAGAAATTGAAAGAAAGCTTTCTATCCGAATTATATTCAATTGCATTGCCACGCATGCTCTGTTTTCTTTTGCTATTTCTGACATAAATTACTTGGGATCGTATTGTTAAAAGAAAGTTCTTAGATGAATCATGACAGAAAAATTTAATCTTCTAACTATGATGAAATGATTTACGAATACCTTAATTATCTCATTTTTCATTTTCATTTATTCGTTTATTAACTATAAAACTCTAGGCGTATGACCTAATTATATAAATACATTTCATGTATATAAAGAAACTAAAAACATAAGTGAGTATACAAGCGAGCGAGTTGGCTTCAAATGTAATGATCTTGCTTCATAAACCCAGTAGTGATCAATTTCTGCCAATAAGAAAATATAATAGAAATAAAAAGCAATTTGATCAAAGAGCATTTCGGTTTGTTATTCTTTATTTTATTTTACAGAATATTTTAAATGCTTTATTTTTCCTACCCGTAGTAACGGAAAACTTCAAAACTTGAATAAATAAAATCATCATATTTCATTAGAGCGAATATCGAAAACGTCAACGGCACGAACTAAATTCTCGGCTACCACAATATTAATTCATTTTGTTGTTCAATTGTTGACCAGAGGAGGTTACTTAATAATAATTGTTTTTAATGCAGATCTACATCAAGTAGTAGTCAACAAACAGTACATGTCTCTTAAAACTCCACCGGAAATGCAGGTAAATGTTTTGAAGTATGTACGTCTGTATTATTGACGTGGTGGCCCTTTTGGCGACGATGTGCCTTTAGGGCGCTGCCTTGTATGAAACCGTCTCCACATATATCGCATAAGTAGGGCCTTTCCCCGGTATGACGACGGCGATGTATAACCAAATCATTCGATTGAGCAAAAGCACTGTCACAGAATGTGCATTTGTACGGCCTTTCACCAGTATGTGTGCGCATGTGCGTAGTCAATTTATAAGAGCGTATAAAAGTTTTCGCGCATATCGTACACTTGTAAGGTCTTTCGCCAGTATGCGTGCGCCTATGTGAAATTAAATCAGTACGCCTAGCGAAAGCTAGTTCGCATATATCACATTTATAGGGACGTTCGCCGGTATGTCGACGCATATGTATAGCTAAACAGGAGGCAGAAGACAAAGCTAAACCGCACAAAGCACATAAATGCTTTTGCTTCACTTTGATGGCAACTTGTTTGCTGGCATCCTTTTTGGACGATTTGCCCCTTACTACCGGTAAAGGTTGACCATTAACTGGGTTATGATATTTTTTCAGATGGGCATTGTAACGATCTTTACGGTTGTACGTACGATGACAATCAGGGCATTTAAATAACTTCATCTCCTTCGGGGAATTCTGCTGCAGGGGAAGAGATTGTAAAGATGATTTTGCAGTGGCCGTTTCCTCCTGCTTGGTAACGTCCACAGCTACTTTAACAGTATGCTGTAATTCTACATGTTTATTTAGATTTTCTGGCCACATGAAACGAAATGAACACTTACTACAAGTGTATTGCTTTTCATTATTCAAACATTGGCTTGCTTTGTGATCGTCAAGTATTTTCTAGAACAAAAAGTAGGACAAAGGCTACTCTTAGAAAAAATGGACGAAGTATTAAAATTGTCACTCAGTTTTACCTGTGAGACTGTTTTAAAGATGCAATATTCACATTTCAAGGTAAGTGTTTCATATGAATGGAAAGAGCGTTGATGCTGCGCCATTTTATACTTCCGTTTACACTGAAAATTGCAAATTTCACAGATATACGAATTTTTCGCCAAATAGTCAGTTAACTCCTCTTCTGCTTCCGTCTCGGAATTCCATTCTAAATGTAGCTCATATCCTCGTTCATTGATTATCGAGTAGTTTTCTAAACCACCAGACAAAATCGCAGATACATGCATTTGTTGAAAGTGTTCAGATAAGTTTGCCATGGTTGGATAATTCCTATGACATATTTTGCATTCAATCACTTTGTCGCCATTAGGCCAACACGTCGAATTGATAATGCTTTCCATACAATCTATGTCGGTGACTTTTATGCCATGTTCCTTAATGTGCGCACAAAGATTTTCTCGAACATAAAACATTCGTGGACATAGTACACAGTAATGCAAGTACATATCTTTACTGTCGCCGTGCAAACTCATATGTCGCTTTAGATCGCAATTATGCTCAAATTTGAGCTGACATAAGAAGCACTCATAACGACGATTCATTTCATTCTGTAGGAAATAAATAAGGGCTAAATAAAATCGCTGATAAAGGTAGTTTCGATTTTACCTCGTTTGCAGTTTCGCGGGCGTGCATCATAGCAAAATGCGATTTAAGATTATCTTTCCACATGAAACGCAATGAACATTTGCGACACTGATGCCGCTTATTCGGATTTTTACATTGTTGTTTGTAGTGATGCTCCAATATTTCGGGCGACAAAAACCGGGCGTTACAGCTACTGCAAACATGGCGCCCCTCCTCCCAAGTGTGTTCATTTTCATGATGTTGAAATAGTTTGTATTTACGTGCGAAACTCAAATGCGGGCATATATCGCAGTTATAACTTCCTTTCGTATTAAGTTTGACTCTCTCATCATCATCTTCCGAATCGAGGTCAGTTTCCGAACTGTCCAAACTTAACTCGTAACCATTTTCATTTGTTATGGAATAAAAACGTTCCAGTTTATGTTTGTTGGTTAAATCAATACCAATTCGGGCCATTAACATGGCCTCCGTCATTATCTCTTCTTCGGGATAGAATTGTGCGGAAATGAAATCAACAACTTCCATTTCCTTGCGCCTTTCAAAATCAATCGTATATTGATGTTTTGCCAAATGATTGCGCAAATCCTGTATAGTTGTGTGCTGAGAATAACAAATCATGCATTTAATCTGTTTGTAACCATGAGGCCTGCTTAGGTTCACGTCAAAATTGTTTACTTTTCGATTTAAATTCAATGTTATTGGCACGCTATTGGGATCATGAGTGCGTATATGTGCTAATAAATGATCTTTACGATAAAATTTCCTTTCGCAATGGGGACAAGCATATTTTTTTTCATCAGGGCGATGTATAATCCTATGCCTTTTTAAATCCTTTAACCAAATAAATACTTTGTCGCATTCGTCACATTTTAATTTATTACCATATTTGTTTTGGTCGCCACGATCAGAATGCTGAAAGTAAATAAAATGTGAAACTGGATAAAAGACCAAAACTTTTCTTAAAAGCAAAACGGGAATCTTAATTAAGTGCGTATATTTCATTATATCATGGATCAGGGAGAATAAAATTAAGTTACTGAATTTATATTGATTATCCAACTTTTAAAACGCGTGTGTTCGTCGCCCCATATCGAAAACCGAAAAATAAAAAAATTAAAATCGCCTTAGACCGAATCGCCGATAACAGACAAGTTAAGATCAAGACATTCCAATATCAAATTATTTCAGTTGTGAGTCGCACTCACTCTCCTCCTCGATCAAGCATCAGTTTCTAATCAATATCTGCTGCGAAGCGGAAGTTACGAGTGGTCACGACTTAAAGTTTAAATTAAGAGCACATATCGAAAATGTCAGGTGTACATATTACTCTATTTTCTACGACCGTGAGGTTTTCAATACAAGCTGATAGATTTTCGAACTGGACTCTAAACGTGTCGACCGTCCGTCTCTGTACCAACTAATATTTTCGCGTAAATTTTGTATTTCGGAACTATTAGAAAAACTTATGGTGGACTGTAAAAATTGAATAGCAAGACAATACGGTATTCTAACAAAATTATTTTAAAATTATTCAAACTCTTTGAAAAGCATTTAAAGATCGGCACGTTATTGCAATACCTTCGTGGGGCCTACTCTGTCTTAGAGACCCTTCCTCGCATTGAAGCAGATTTAGAAAAGTTAAAAAACATACATATACAAAAACAACTAAGAAAGTTATATTCGGGTGGAGCCGAATCCCGCACACCCACGACTAAACTTTTCCCATTCTACTCTTCAAATTCTTTTACTTTATACCCATATCGCTGGTATTATTAAAACAAAATTAATCCATCACGTCTATAATTTTTAGAATCAACTCATTTTTAAACGGAGTAAGTATATCATTTGAGGAATGTAAAAAATAATTTTAAATATTTTGCTTTCTTTGTGTTACGATGATTAAGCATAAAATCTCACAAAAGTGAAAAAAAGATTATTTAATCGTTTGTAACTTGGTGTGGGTCAGGTTCATTTTTCCCATTTTTGTACGTAGAAAGTTGCAATGTTTCGAAAAGTAAATGTGAAAAATTTCAGCTTACTAACTTTCATAATTTCTGAGTAACGTGCAAAAAATTCGCAAATTTTGGTTAAGAAAAACGTTGTTGCACTCAGTTTACGCTCCACTGCGGGCTTCTGCTGTGATCAATTTAGCCCATTTTCAATACTAACTTGAGTGTAAACACTTCCAATGTTTCTACCAAATTTGAAATCGATATCTTAATTTTTGCCACCAGGAGAGTCCCAACAACAAACACTGGACAGACGGACAGACATAGCTGAACCAATTCAGAATTTCAAGATGAAGAATATATGTATACTTTATAGGGTGTCTAAAGCTTCGTTTTGGATGTTACATGCATTATGAAAAAAAACAAAATGAGTATACCTCCGTCTTATAGTGGTGGGTATAAAAACAACTAAGAAAATCATATTTGGACTGTAGCTTTTGTACACATCATCATTATCCTAAAAATGACAAAAAAGTCAAAGAAGTCAATATTCTTGCCTTATAATATGGAGTAGGGGAGGCTGATTTTCTTTATTTTAAAATAAAAGTTTTTCCGGTGTAGCCGCGTGGGCTTTATCTCGTATACTTTGAAAAATTTAGGTAACTTCTAACTTCTTTTGCAAATTGATGGGCGATATATTCATTTTTGCAAACGGGATGAGATTTACCACAAATATCACACAGTTGCACAGATGGACGGACGAAAAAACAGGCATCCTAAGATGCATTTCAAATTTGAAACTATCCATGAATTTAGATACTTTATGAGGGTTTTGAAGCTTTTGAAGTTATGAAGGTATAAAAAAAAAATCAAATTTTGATAACTAAAATTTTGGGTAGGCATGGTCGATGAATTGCAGCATAGCGCACAGAATGTTGAGTATGTAATGAGCAAAAAACTAATCTTTTGTTCGATTCGAAAAACAGAGAAGTGCTCAAGTTACGCACATTTGGCCCAATCACAATACCATCTGCATGCAAGAACTTGCAATGTTTCTACCAAATATAAAGTCGGTAGCTTAGTTTTTGCGGCCAATAGAATGTTTACAATAGACACTACACAGAGGGACGGATGGACATTCTTAAATCAATTTAGAATTCGATGCTGATCAAGAATTTATGTACTTTGGAGGACCTCCGAAGCCTTCTTCTCGACGTTGTAAACGTTTTGACAAAATGAATATACCCCCCATCCTGTAGTGATGAGAATATAAGTTCGACAGAAAAAATTTAATGATGAGATTTTCTTACCTTCATTTGTTTATGCTTCGCTAAATTTCTGGGCCAAACAAAATTTAACGCACAAATATCGCACCGAAAACTTTGTTGACGATATTCGTTTAAACAATTTCGATATTGATGATGATCGAGAATTTCTCGATAAGCGAATTGCCGCGAGCATACATCACAACGAAAGGGTAGGGACATTCCCGCATGAGTCGCTGTTTGATGTTCAACCAAGGATGATCTACGTCTAAATTCCGAATGGCACTGTAAACACTTGTAAAAATGGCGCTGCTCTTCTTCCGACTCACTTTCCGAGTCCATCACGTCGAGTTCTTCAGCATTTTTATCCAAAGCACAATAAAATCGCGTGAGTTGATTCTTACTGTAGTCATTTGCTATGGCTTTTTTCACAGATTCTCGATCTAGAGCATTTTCCAATTTAACAAATGTTTTCATGTAAAGAGAATGTTCAAAATCAATATTTGTTTCGCCATCCTGATGAACAGGCAAGTGTTCTCGTAATTGTTTTAATTTGGAAAAATGGTTATTACATAAAGCACATCGAAACTCTTGCGGATTGCTCCATTCAATGCACGCGTGTATTTTCATATGTGCCTTTAGCTTTAAAGCTGTTTTAAAAGTCGTACGACATATAGAACATTTTAAGGGATTGTTTTTATCCTTCGTTCCCGTTAAAAATCTCGCTTTATGCAAACAATTGTGTTGTCTCATACTCTCTATCCACGCGAACTTTCCCGGGCACCGTATGCAAACAAAAGATTTATCTCTATTACGGCAATGAGTACGCGAATGTTGCTCGAACATACGTGAACAAAGAAAATCCAGTTTACATAATTTACATTTATAGGGTATTTCCTTTTCAGTTTCGCGATGCTGCTCTTTCATATGAGTGAAGACTTGATATTTATATGAAAACTTCAGTTGACACAATTCACATTGATAACGTTTTTCGTAAACTTCATCATCGTCGCTTCTATCAACTTCATTTTCAGTGTCACTGATCGAAACTTCATAGCCGTGCTCGTTAAGTATAATATAAAATCGTGACCATTGATTCAAAAAAATTTCTTTCTCTATAGTCTCCCTAGCTTTCTCAATTGTATCGGCATTCGGGTAAAGTTGCCTTACGACGTTACTGCGCAAGTGTAAATGTTGTAAGGTTTTTGAGTCTCTATGCATTTCAAGGTGTTGACGTAATTCCCTTGCGTTTGAAAATCGTGTTTCACATAACCTACATTCAATCAAACGGCGTTTAGTGGGCTTACTGTATAAGCAATCACCATATTTCCATTGGTTAAGTCTACTTTTCATTCCATTTGGAATGCATTTAGAAGTATTAGTATTCGTTTGCGTGGGTTGATGATAAGCTCTTATATGTTCCCGTACTTTATCCTTGCGCTTAAATTGATGGCCACAAAATTCACATTGAAAGTGGGCCTTATCGGAATGTATAGTGTTTACGTGACGTGTTACGTCCTTCCGCAAAGAAAACGTTTTATCACACATATAACAAAGGAAACGGTCATCGATTTTTTTTATTTTCGAAAACTCCTGAGATCTGGGACGACCTTTGCGAGTTTTCACTTTTCTAAAAAGTTATGCTTAAATAACGAACTCTGTGCCAAAAAGTAATTAAGCGTACTTATCTATGGTTGATTTTCGGATCTTTGGTTTCTGTGGGATATATTCGTCATCCTCGTCCTCTGTACTGGATGAAAAGCTATTTATGTGCATAAATGAAAACATTATTTCAAATTTAATAAAAAAAATCAATGTTTACTTGGGTAAGAAATTCAAATTATCAGTTGAAATATCATCTTCTTTTGTTATCGGTGCCAGATAATCTTTGTTCACAGTTTCTGATGGAATCTTTTCTACTTGGTTACCTTTTTCATAAAATCAGGAAAGAATTATATAAGATGGTTTAAAACCATATGTTCTCTAACTTACTCCTTATGAACCCCTCCTTAGATTCATCATCATCGATACAATCTAAATCGGAATGATAACAATTCTCGGTTATACTCTCTTTTTTAATCTGCAGGTAATCATTTTCCATTTGTTGACATTTAAGTGCACCATCAATCGGTATATCGATGACGGTTTCCACTAAACAATCCACCGTACCGCCCTTATCTTCAGAATTATTATTTGTCAAGTTTCTTTCGCTATAGGGCAGGGAATCTTCCCATAGGAATGAATCGTTAGTAGACCCGGTAAGAGCTTTTTCTTCAAGTTGAGTTTCGTAGAACTCATTAGTTTCTATTATTTGTTGTATAAATTCATTAGCATTTTTCAGTTTTTCATTGCAATTATTGCACAAATTTTGCGGCATCTTCTTACTGTAATTGCTTTGCTAGATTAATGAACACAATTAATTATTAATTTTTAAGTTTTAGAAAATTAGTATAACTTTACCGTGAGCAACGATTGAAGGAAATTTTGTAATGGTTTTCCTACGCCGGCCAAGCATTGTGTCAACAAGACGTTATTTAAACTGCAAACCGCTAAACAAGTTCGACAAACATACGGTTTTCCTTTTATCAAACAAAACGTATTATCACTCATGTTAAATTAACTTTAATGCAAATATATGAAACATAAAGGTTTGTGTTATTTATTACAAAATAAAAGAAAATTGCGTCAATTCGACGAAAAGTTAGCTGATACACAGAAAAACTCTTTGACAAGTCTGATTGTCAAAATTTTATTAAAATTATTTATTACATGATCGCAAAGTTAACAGCAAAACATTTCGTTCTGGTGCAACGAAATGGATATGAAACATTTTCAACAGTTTTTGCGGAGTTTTTATCCGTTGGCTTGTTTTTGAGAAGAACAAAGGTTAAACGACAGCCTTAACCTGCACAAAATTGCACAAATACATAGTTTTATTGTAAACCGATATATAAAGACAATTAAACTATAGAAGAATTTTTGCTTTGACAATTAGAAGTACAATAATAATATAGTAACGAAAAGCTTAGTACTTTGAATTTGAACAGTTATCCAGAAAAGGCGTTATTTTGGAAGAACTTAGGACTATATATAAGAACTTAGGCGGTAATTAAAGAAGTCAGAAATCACTATACCGCTGTTGTGAAAATATATTTTGTATCTTTTCCGAAAAAAATGGCGCAGGGTAAACTACGCTTTGGCAGAGGAAAATGCAGAGCAAGTAATGGTGCTGAAGTTAATATAGCATTAAGCGTTGAAAATTTAACCGCTTGGCTAAGGCCTGCAAGAATAATGAGGTTTGTTTTAAGTGCCGCGGCAATCACATATCGAAGGTTATGTCTTCGATTATTTTCTGTGCATTAAGTCGCAACTTCTGTGAAGTTAGTGGTTATAACATAATCCATTATGATAAAACTCACACCCAAAGAGGTTATTGTATCGCCTTCTTTATAATATGCGCTTAAATCATAATCTTACGAAGAAGTCCAAAAACGCCATGGTTTATACATAGCTAGTAACAATTAGAAATGCTGAGTTCACTTTTGTGTATAATCAACACAGGAACAAGTCCATGGATGACGTTCCCCGAGCGTTGGACGATATCTCTATTTCTCAAAAAAATATAACAAGGTGGCTTTCGGAGGAACGATTCGCACGCCAAACTGCCTCTTTTGGATTTCATTTGCGCTTGTAATAGCTCTCTAGTTGCACATTCTGACCAATTCCATTTCAGAGGATTGTCTGCTCATGGGATGTGGTTTCTAGCCTTGAATGTAGAATTCAATACGGCAGCCACAAATGGTTATCTTTTTAGAGATTGTAGGTCAACACATATGCAATGAGTTATTAATGCTTCCATCAAGTTTTCTGGCGCAATGTTCGTCACTGACGTGAACGTCACTGTCGTGAACGATTAGTATTCCCATTTAATATACAACCTGGCTGCAAGAAACCAAAAAATTTGAGGACAGGAAGTTTATTGTGGAAACTTGTCTCCAAATGGAAGACCTATGGAAAGCCGCAAAAGATGGTGAAGTTCAAGGAGAAGAAATCATCCAGGCGAAGGCAGATTTGATTTTGCTGACAGCCAAGAGAATATATCCCCATATTTGTGAGTGCAAAATTGGAAATGAAATATGAAAAATATTAGGAGTCTTCCTCGACGACGCTTGTTTAGTAAAACTTGCCGGCTTTATACAAAGCAAAGTTAAAGGATTTTGCTTTTGTCGATGAATACCTAGTAAAATTCTTATAACAGCGTATAAATTACGAAGTGCTGTGCCTAAGGTAGACGAAGAATGAATAGGTTCGACGATGTTGGCTAGACCCACAGAGGAATTTAAGTCGATGTTTATGGGAAATCAAAGATAACTGGTGATGTAATTGAATTAAAATTGTCACAAGAGAAGAAAATAGAAGGCACTTCAGGTGCTCCCTTGTCCATGCAAGAGAACAAATATAAATTCGAGAGGGAAGTTTTATATATGTCAAAAATTTTGCCATATTGCGGCTAAGTGCCAGAATATATTGAATGAAAAAGAGAATAAAGCCATGATACGTTCACTATTTAGCCTGACGGTCCGAACCGCCAGTAGGATGCAGAGCAAGAAACTTGAGAGAGTGAGTAAGAAAATTGGTCTTAAGCCAAGTAAATTATAAGATATCAAAGAAAGATACAGTATATATACTCATCTTCACATACAACAAAATGAAATTTAAGAAGAGCCTTTGCGGCAACTTTAAAATAAAAGATATTGGAGACGCACAATACATTTTAGGTTTGCAGTTAACAAGAAGCTGCATAGCAGATATGCTCTGGTTGCTTCAAGAACTATATATTAAAGATTTACTGAAAAGGTTCAAAATAGACGGCTGCCATTTGCAATAGATTCGGAGCAAAAGTTATCAAAAATTATGGGTAATAAGCAATTGAATGCCCCATATCAGAACGCAATAGAGAGCATTTTATTTATTGTGAAAATCTGACAGAGTACATTGGGAAGCTTTAAAAACAATTTCAAGATATTTTGAAGGGACTGTGGATGCTACACAGAAAACAGTGAGTAAATGGAATACTCCAGAACCAAACAAATAAACCTAAATTGGTTGATATGACTCGACCAAACGTTGCGTCTGGTCATACCAACTTGTTTTTATTTTTTATCTCCAGCACTTAAACTGGAAGAAACTGTGAATAAAGAATGATCAATGTTGTTTCAAACAAAATGAAAAAGTTTTGAAGTGTGTCACAAAAATGCAACGTACGCAAATTAGTATAAACAACGAGGACACACTTCTGGGTCTGGATTACGTAATCAGCGGGATTGTTGTCTATGGTCAGTTATACAAAAACAGACAAAGATAGAAACATAACTGTGCAAATGCAAGTGCATGAACAAATCGAATACAGCTACGTTAATAAGTGCATAAACAACCCAACATGAATGTGGAAATGCAAAGGTACAAAGAATAAAGTGTGTTGACTTAAAATAAACAGGCGAATAAAAAGACACACACTTAAAACTAACAGGGACAAACCAGTAAAAATTGCAATTTAATAATGGTCTTTATGAAATTTTAGAAAGTTATTCTGACGCGGATACGCATGTGACTTGGGCGATAGAAAGCCCGCCACTAGATGTGTTTTTAAATTCCACAAAAAAATAGATATCTGTAGCTTTTTCTACTTCTGAGGCGGAATATGTAGTGGTAGATGTAGTTACTAAAGCACGGCCTTTAGAGAGACATCGAGAACGTTTGGAATCGTTAATTCAATTTAGTGACAACATTTCGACAACATTTCTTTATTACTGATTCCGACTAACTGACAATTACCCATAACAAGTTGCAAACTCGATTTCGATTCTGAATTTTGTCATTTCTGAAAATGACGCATTACAAGATTTAAGGTTATTTTAATATAGTTGCAATTGTACGTGTTTGTCTACTTGTTCATACAGTTTGTTAATTACTGACCAATTAGTCAACAGTAAATTTCCTTTCTGCGAGAACCTTACGTGAAAGATGCTCAGGAGAAGCTATACGGGATAAGTAGGTCACAATCTTTTGTGCGAAGAAAGGATCGGTACTTAGGCTTCTTGGTCGAAAAATACATATATCCTAATATTATATCTTACACATACACATGTTTATATATACGTTATATATATGTATATAACGATGATATATGATAATAGTGTATTCATAAACATAGAAATAAACATATATATTTGATATATAATAAGATTTGGATTCTGTATATACAAATAAGCAGCTATCGACAATTAGGCTTTTCGGTCGATATATATATATATATATCAAAAGTATACACTCAAGTCATGCCCTGAGGAATTATGTGTTGTTATCTCAAAGAATTTTAACGTTTTATTGAAATTGGATATTTTCCCCTGGTGTTGGAACAATAGTTTCCTTACTCCAATTCACAAAGATGGGAGCAGACATTTGGTCAAGAAATGCAGAGGCATTGCCAAGTTGAGTGTCTTAGCTAAATTGTTTGAACAAAGCATTTGAATTCTTCTAGAGCCCTTTGTAAAAATCGAAAACTGTCCATAGTTTAATCTCAATATCGGACTCTTTAAATTCTATCAAATGCAAACTTGTAAATACGAGCACTTTGCCTATGTCGTATACAGACAACCGTCTAATTTTGATTTCTTCGTAGGACTCTAAAATTTGGAGATTCACACTCAACATGGATTTCACATGAATTCCAATTTTTTATTGTTTCCTTATTTTTCTTTAAAGACATTTTAATAGTTATTAATAATATTTAATATAAAATTTATTGTTAAGAGTGGAGTGGATTCGGCTGTTAATTTACTTTAGCTGAATTTTATGTGTAAATAAAATAAATCAAGGAATAAATAAATAAATGATATACTAAATTAATCTTCTAAGTGGATTTCCAAAGGTCCACTTCGTTTATAAAAAAAGAGATTCATATAATAGATAAGCGTAACAAGACATTATAATAACAATTTAATAGCGATTTTTGCGGTTTAATGCTCGTTAGCAATTCTTTATAAAAATAAAACATTTTCATAAGTATATTTTGCTACGAAAGACGTTTAATGGTTCTAAAGTGGCAAAAACGGTAAGAAAACAAATGCAACGAGCTTACAACGAAAGAATTGTCGTATGTTCCCGTTGCTAACATCGCGTGTTAAAATTCTCTAAATACAAAAAAGTGCCACAACTGTTTTCTTAAAATCAAATTCATGAAAAACTATTTTTGATTACTGACAAATTATTTAAATATTATTAATTGTTAATAAAAAGAAAACGAAGTGTATTTATTTTGGAAGTGTTTTATTGAGCGAGACAACGTTGATTTGTTTAGTGCACTTAGACTCTCTGTAAATTTTGACTGATTTCCCTCTGAAATATTCTTTTACAGTTTTGTTATTGTTATAGATATTGTTAGATTAGAGAGCTAAAAAAAAATTAGCGAAACTGGATAAACGTAGAATGAATGGCACCCGTTTCGCCCGAACTGGGCGATGTCGCTTCATAATATGTATAGGCATTTTGATCTTGATGGTCGGAATGGTAGCGATATTTCATAGCTCACAGATGCAATTGGATGAAACACGGCAACAACGCTTGCATTGTGAACAGCAACAAGAAGCCTTAAATGAAAGACTTACATGTTAGTTGATAATGCTTATTTTGACTCCCTACTGCATACTATATACATAATCGATTTTCAGCTTTAGTGGAACAGAAATTCCACATGGAAAAAAACCACGACCATGAGCGTAATGAACAAATGGAAATTAAACGCAACCTAGAACAACGAATTAAAAGCTTAGAGGAAGAATTACAAAAGCAAAAATTAGAATCCCAAATGCGTTATGATCATCTGCAGCAAGGAAATAAAGTTTTGCAACGCGACCACAAAGATTCATTAACAGAGTGCACTAAGACCAAAAAACAACAGCTTGAACATGCAAACACATTGGAAAAGAAATTAGAAGTGCTACATTCAGAATTTGAAAAAGAAAAGGTTAATATATCGAGTGAAGCAAATATGTGGAAGGTAAGCAGCATGTAGATATCTTAAACAATTATAAATCATTCGTTGGTTTTTGTGTTATTACGTAGGAAAAATACAATGGACTTGCTAATGAAAAGGCAGATTTGCTGACCACCTTAGAAACCGTAGATACTTTACGCTCCAAAATCAAAGAACTTGAAAATTCATTAAGGGAGCCAAAAGGAATCTCTAGAACAAAATCAAATAAATTGTTGGGTAAACCGCAATCGACAACGCCGAATAAAGTTGAGCCACTAAAATCGTTTAAAGGATTAGAAGAAGTGAGTGAAGGCGTCTATCATGTCAATATAACTATAAAGAATGCAAATCAGGTGCCTAATGCTTCTGGCTTTACTACTGCTATTATTACTAACAATAACAATAATGTAGAAAACCCTAATAGTGGGTTTTTTAATGTTACTGGTATGGGTTTATCTAATCGAACAACATCTGGCATCAAAAATAAGAAATTTGTAGATATAAAGGCTGCAGCGGATCAAAGTAATCGTAGTATAATTTTAAATTCCGTTGAAAATTTTCAGATCGTACCTAAGCCCATTGTAAATAATGTGGGAAAACTGAAAGACATAATTTCTTCATCACCAGCTAGTAAATCGGAACAACAAATGCCATCGGGGGTGTTAGGGTTTAATGCTACAACGGCAAAATCATCGTTAGTTTCTAATGGAAATTTAAACAGTAATAGCCCCCCGTTGGCAATGCCACCGAATCAAAGAAGGCTTCCTGAAAATGTTGCTCCTATACCGGAAAATTTTGAAACACTTCTAGGAAAATCTAATGTGGATGAAATTAAACAAGGTAGCAAGCAAAGTAATGACGTTGAACGAGTCAACAAAAACGCAGAAAACAACAACAATCGTTACAGTAATGTAGTTGACACTATGGATATTCCAAAAACTCAAGGGGTAAAATCAGCTGCCAACAAGGACTACGATTCGGCGTTACCCGCCGCAAATGGAATTCGTAATCGTGAAAGCAGAAATGATGACAATCTTAATGATAATGAAAACCCGCAAGACGATCACAAAAAGATGCCAGTTGGTCCAATTAATGCGGATGAAAAATTCAAAGATGGTGAAAATGATGATGAAGAAATTGCAGTTGGCTTAGGTGCTGATAATGAAGGCGATATGCTGGCAGGTTTGGGCGGCGGCTTTGCTGCTGGCGATATAGCTGTGAAACCAAATAAACAGCAGTTATTGAAGACTGATAATCTCAATAACGAGGTAGCTGCAGACCAAGGCAAAGAATTTGGTGATGGTTTACGCATAGATGAAGGCGACTTGGATTATGGTGATGATGGTTTGTTAAAGAATGGATTAGACAGTGGTAGACTAAGTATTGCTTAAGATGTTAAAATTCTAAAAAATTCTTTAATTTAGAAAACTTTTAAAAAAAATTTTGCTAGTGAAACTTTTTACAACCTCTTTCCAAATTTTGAAAAGCGATTGTTGGGACTGTCACTAGCCATGTCAGAAATTGTTGGTTTGTGCAAAGGCTTTAAAATCCTTATGACCACCATACCTAGGTAGCGCTTCCGTCTTGCCCTTGTAGGAAGACGGCATATTGGTGATCTCGAAAATCTTTCCTCAATGGAGAGAAAAGCGAAAGTGTTTTATATTATCTTAAAAAGGCTTTAAACGTAATTTATGTTAATAAACGATCACAATCATTAAAAGAAAATGTGTTAAAATTATGAATAATAAAATTAATTTTTTTTTTTTTTT